TCGCCCCTTGCAAGGAGAAATTTCTTATCCGTATTAAAATTATTTTACTATATTTTAAGTTTTAGCTTCGATGCAAAGCTGAGAAGATATTTTTTTGTGACTATCATTTATTTTCTGCTCTAACTTGACCTACTTTTTTCAACGATACTTCAAATGACTACAATTCGTATCTAGGTTGAAGATATTACCCTCAAAAATTGAAAAAAAATTTTAATTTATCAATTAAACAGTTAGTTATTCCATTTCCTCCATACAAACAATTAAAATCATTAATTTCTAATGTTTTCAAAGTATTTATTGACGAATCAAGTTTGATATGATAGGTTTCAACTACAAAATTAAATCATTTTACTTTGTAATTTAATAATTTTTTTACTCTGTTTGTGTGTGCTACTATTAGACTATAATATTCAAATTTTTTTCTAACGTGTTGCTATATAAATCATTTCTAAAAAAAATGATTGTTTTTTCTCCTGAATTAACAATTGATTTTTACAAATATAATCAAATTTTATAATAAACTCAATTGAGTAAATCTTTTTAACAACTTTGTTTTGATTGGTACATTTAGTTAAAGTAAATCATTAAAATTAATTAAGTCTGAATATATCAATTGTAGAATCTTTTCAAACAACAAAGGTTATTAGGAAATTAACACTATTACTCCTATTTAAGTTATCTATTATCATAAAAATATTGAGCTTTTCTGATAAATTTACAATAAATAGTAATTATAAAACTTTCTGACTGCAAATTGATCTTAACGAGATACAATTTTTTTAACTGTCATAAAATTTTCTATTTAAAGATGTCAATGTCAAACTTACCAATTGAGCTAAAAGTTATGGTAAAATAAATTTCTTTTATTATTATAAACATTTACAACAATCAACTTTAAACGATTAAAAAAATAGGTTAAATATGTCATTTTCCTTATTTTTAACATATTAATAATCAAAATCAGTATTAATTTAAAACAATTTTTTTTGTTCTTAATTTTTTTTTTTTATATGTAAATACTATTTTTTAATAATAGAGTCATTCCATGTGAAATCACCTAATGTGTGTGCTGGTATAGTTCAGAAATTTATGAAATTTATATCATAGACTTCTTAAAGGTCATTGACAACAAAAATAATATTTTTTTTTTTTATTATTGTTTTTTTACCAGATAGTGAATTTTTTATAATTAAAAACATGAAAAAACAGACTATGTTCTAGAGCCTATAACTTCACATCCAAATAAGCTATCACTGTGGAACTAGCACTGTTTTACTCATATTAAATAGTACTTCAATTTTATTCTTAAGTTTATAAATTTTGAATTTTTTTGATCATCGAAATTTTGATTTAAATTTTTTAAATTTTGCAGTATTTTAATAGCAAAATTTGAAGGACAAAAAATTTTTTAATTAAAATTTTTTTTTTCTTTTCAGAAACTTTTAGTAATGTTCTTTTAACCCATATCATATTTGATTCGATATATAATTTTTTTTGTATCGTTTTACGGTCTTGAACATGCAAGGTTTGCTGAAAATAGCCAACTTTATCATCTCATTACACAAAAGTGACTGAACGAATTTTTTTCAAATTTACATAGTACTTTCCTTTAGGCAAATTAAACGTCTGGTGAAAATTTTATGATGGAGAAATAATTTTAACGCTACTTATAGAATTTACAAAATTTACAATTTGCGTATTATGGAAAATCCATAAACAACGTAATTTTCAACACTCAATTTTAATTTCTTGTATTTATTCTGTGTTCTGTAGTATATTAAGTTATTGGGACTCATAAAAAAATCCTAGGAGCAATGGCTAAGTTCGGAAAAGCTCCATTACTTTTCTCCATAAAGTTAATTACATCAATAAATATTGTTGATTCTTCGACTAGTATGCTGTAGTATATAAATATTTTATACCAAATATATAAAGTCATAAGGATTTCTATTGTACTAATCTCCGAATTTAATGAATTANTAAATATCTTTTTCATCTTCAGATTGAAGATGTAATACCAAGTCTATATTATCAATATGTTGAAACTTTCATGGATTGTCATACTATTTGAAAAGCTTGAGGATTTATCCATGTTTGCATTGTTTTGGTGCACAATTCCAGTAAACTATGTAGTTTTTCGTCTAACCATTTTTATTCTTTTATGATATTCAGTGTGTCCTTTACTGGTACCATTGTGAATAACGAGACTACGTCGACGTTGACCAGAATGTCTCCATCTTCCCAGTTGGTTTGTTGCAATTTTTCCCCAAAACCAGTCGAGTTTTTTACATAGGAAGATGTTTTCCCAGTGTAGGTTTTTTTTTTTTTTTTTAAAAAGGCAATTGGTGGATTATTCCAAAAGCATCATCAACTCTTATTTCTTTAATTATATCCTGATTAGTAGTTCTTTGATTTTAAAATATAATATATGAATAAATACTAATTATAATTATTAAATTTAGTATGAAATTGATATTCAATAATTTAATATTGTAATTTAAACGGAGAAATTATAAAAATAATAAAGAAGTTATATTTTGCTTTACTTTTACGTGTATAAAAATTTAAAGGGCTTGATACAATAATTTTCAATAAAAACTGTTTGTTACTATAAATGAATGCACTGGACTTCAAGGAACTTTTATCAGAAGCAAAAATATACTTTCCTAAATCAAAGTTTCGCGTTGTTTTCAAATCTGCAATTAGACTTTATCTATCAGTTCTAATTTTTTATATTATTACTAATTACATATAAAAAATAATTAAAAGAAAAAANTCAATTACAAGTTTAAAATTGACATCTAGGCCAGTCAACAAAGGAAAAATTTCTTAAAAAATTCCCAACCAAATTTTGTTTTTTTAAAAATTTAATTAAAATATGTATAATGACATACTAATAGTGTATGTGTGAGTTTATTTATTTATTGTATCATTAAAGTGTATATTCTAAGTCTATATTCTGTCATCTTATCCACGATTGACGCAACACATTTACTTCCTCTTATATGCTCGTTCCTTATCTTATGTTCTCTAGTCACTCCACTCATCCAACTAAGCATTCTCATCTCTGCTACACTTATTCTCTGCTCTACTTTCTTATCATCCGTCCAACACTATGAACCATACATCATAGCTGGCCTCACAATTTCATACTGAATTTAAAAACTATAATTAGTATTTATTCATATATTATATTTTAAAATCAAAGAACTACTAATCAGGATATAATTAAAGAAATAAGAGTTGATGTTGCTTTTGGAATAATCCACCAATTTCTCTAAATGAAACACTATCTACAGATTTGCATCGAAGCGTTTCTTATGATAGTGATTTTAATCACTGTCAGATATCATCTATACTTGTCCCATCTATGCCTCGTTCACACTGTGCCTCGACCCCACTGTGCTACCGTTTTTTTTTTGTGTCTGTTACCACTTTATCTCAGCTCTCACCGAACCGATTTCTTTCAATGATACGTCAAAAGATCACAAATCGTATCTTGTCGAAGACATTACCTTCAAAAATTGAAAAAATTTCCCTCGTTCCTCGTAAATGGGGGAAATCCCCCCAAAAATTACAAATTTAAAAATCGCTAGTTTTCGAAATTTTTAAAATTTTTTTTACTTAAAACTGCCATATTTTTTATATAGATGCATGATGTCTTTACCTTTCATTTGATATATTTTTTTTATAAATCTGACCCTTTGCCTGCCTACAGGGGGGATTCAAAATGACAATTTTTTTACAAAAAATTAACTTTTTCAACTTGACTTTTGAAAATGTTCCGGAATGTCTGACACTTTTATATATATCTTAAATTAAAGCTAATGTAATATACTTTATTATAGAAAAAAAAAAATTTCGGACTTTATTTTTATCTTCATGGTGAAAACAGACATCAACGTTAATAAAAAAAATACGATTTTTATAAAAAAATTCTTTTTTATATTTTTAACTTTATAATACTATAACTTATTGAAAAGTGTATGGATCAACCCAATTTTTTTATGAGAAATAATATTTTTTAATAATCCCTTTTTCATTCGACATACTTTATCTTAATCAGAATATTAATAAGGAACTAGCAGATCATGTAGCTTTTGGAATAATCCATCAATTTTTTTTAAATTAATCACTATCTAAAGATTTGCATCAAAGCGTATTTTTTATAGTGATTTTAATCACTGTCAGATATCATTATACTTGATTCGAGTATGCCACGTCACCACTGTGCTGGTTTTTTAAATACTGATTCTAATGAATATTAATACATTATATAAAAGGCAATGGGATTTATTAGATATTGATTCATTTTTAGCATCATTCCTCATATCTTAAGTTGTGTTAATAAAATTTTCAAAGAGTAACATACCACAGTACATACATATTTAACTAACTTATAAAATAGGGAATTATTTAATTAAGAAAATAATTTTGGGACTGATATTTTGAAATTCATTAACACTTTTTTACGTGTGTGAGAAGAGTAGTCTAATAATATAATTAGTTATAGATACCAAGTCCTAATTAAAGGTATTTTTATTTAATCAGGATATAATTANCCCGTGACTCTCTACAGTCTATAATTTAAAATAGTTATAATTTCTGAAGTATTGGTCCAAAAGTTGTTATCGATCAGCCATTTTTTAATTAGATCATTTTCCATTTTATGATTCAGTTAAATATTCTTAATTATAGTAAAATGGGTTAACAAAGTCTTTAATTTAAATTAAAGACATTATTTGACCAGCCTCATTATACAAACTTTAGTTTAATGTTTAGTTGTTCATGAAATTAAAACTGACGTCTTTATTTATATTTTAAAATATAGCTATCAGGATTTTTATGAATTCGTAAGTAACTTTTTTTTAAATATAATACACTGCCCAGTTTTTCGTATGTGAAATATTCTTATATACTCAAAATCTGTTTCATATATATTGAATTTAAAGTTATTTATATATAAGTCTAACATTTGAATTATGTGTTTTTGTTTCTAGGAATTTATCTCAGGAAGGTAAAACACCAGATGATGCAGTTTTTCAGCATTTATCTTCTGTTTATGCTTCTAAAAATCCTGTTATGTCAAATGGATCAGCATGCCAAGATGAACATTTTGAACATGGAATTACTAATGGTGCGCAGTGGTATGAACTGGAAGGTATGTAGTTAACGGCTTTATTTTTATGTAATTACAATGATAAAAATATGTAATAATATATCAACTTTTTTCAAATAAATGTACATTTATTTATTTAAAAGCAATACCCAGGACTTGCTTAGTTTTAATTATTTTTAATAAACAAAAGTAAATTACAATATATTTTATAAATAATGACACAATATTTTAAATATTCTATCACATTGAAAATATTATATTCTTGATAATATAATATTCCAACATTTTTTTTGTGACATTTTTTTATTTTTCTTTATTTTAACTGAGGTTTATTATTTTAGGTGGTATGCAAGATTTCAACTATGTATATTCTAATTGTTTTGAAATAACAGTAGAACTTACTTGTTGTAAATTTCCTCATCCATCAGTTCTAACTCAAGAGTGGGAAAACAATCGAGAATCAATGTTGTCATACATGGAAAATGTCCATATTGGTATTAAAGGTATATATATATATATTTTAAATTGTAATTTAGTTTAAAAAAATTACCATAATATTATTTTTCAAAATAGTATGACATTTTATTTTTGAAATATATATTTTAGGCTTAGTTCAAGATCAGTACAATAATGCTATTGAAGGAGCTATTATTAGTATTTCTGGGATTAATCATGGCATTAAAACTACTAATAGAGGAGAATATTGGCGACTTTTACTTCCTGGGACATACACTGTTAAAGCTAGTGCTCCTGGGTAATTTTAATTTTGCGAATTTTTAATGATTATATGTTGTAAAGTTATCATGAAATATCTTAATTTAAATATTCATATTGTAAGATCATTATTTTATGTTATGTAGTTATAAGGATGATCTAGAATTTTCATTATATATTAATTTTTCGGTCGTATTGCTGTAGATATAATATAGTCGTATTCCTATGGGTATAAAAATGCTTTACAAAACTTATTTGAAAAAAAAAAATATTTTTCAGTTCTTCAAATTTAAAAAAAAGTGTTTTTTTTTGTATTTCAAGTCTTATAACTTTGTCAATATTCAAGTAATTTTTAATGAAAAAGTACTTAATTTGTTTTTTTTTTCATTTAGATTATTTTACTGTCATTTAAATTATTCTCAATTATGTATCTATGGTCCAAGGTATAAAAATAACCAAAAAATAGTTTTACTTTAATTTTTATTTTAGTTTAAAATATTAAATTAAAAAAGCTGAGTAACAATTAATACATAAAGTTGTTGTATTTTTTTTTTAACAATCTATAAATTCTTTGTTAGGTATGTATCATCAACTCATAATGTTACTGTTAAAAATGATAACTACCGAACTTCAACCGTCAATTTTACTCTTCAGCAAGCTAAAACATCATCAGGTAATTTTGACTATACCAAATATTTTACTCGTTATTTTACTTCTTAAATGTAATACTTGCTTTAATATTTTGAAATGCATAAGAATTTATATTAAATACAATGGTGGTTGATATACTTGCATATTGCATGAGCTTTAAAACAAATTTGGTGTTGGATATATGATTTAAAATTTCTCAAATGAATTATTGGACTATTTTAAATAACATAACAAATTTTAGGTATACCATTTGTTTGTGTATTAGATATAAATAATTATAGGTTAAAATATATTTTTAACTTATTACAAAAATATTTAGTATTATAAAACTAGCAATAGTTATCAGAATATAATAAACAAAGATAATTTCATTAATTTGTAGTATAAAAATGTATTTTTGTTTTTTATTTTTTAGCTGAAAGATACAAGATGCAATTTGTTTTATGCATGGTGTATTCGTTGTTGCATGTGTTACTAATTAAATAATTTATTATACTTTAAAGTAATTTTCTATTAAATCTTTAATGAGTGTTAATTCAGTTTTTTGTAGGAGATTGCATTATTTTATACTTCTTTGAATTAATATGAATTACTTAAAACTTAAAAAAGTAACACATGATATTATTCCCAAAAACATTCCACATAAATATATGATTATTTTCTATTTAAATCATGTAGAAATGTAGAAACATGTAGAATCTAATTATTCAATAAAAATATAATTTTCTTATGTCATGGATTTTAGTATCTAGTATTAAATCCATTTTTTATATATTTAAATTACAATTTTTTTTTTAATATTTTTAAAATAAATAATTGAATAGATTCACATTCATATTGTAAATTGTGTAAGTTTACATTGTTTCAAAAAATAATGAGTTTTGAACAAAAAAGTACATTTTTGCATTTTTTTTTTTTTCAATTTTTAATTGATACTGCAATATCTTTGACATTATTCCTTCTTTAGTATATAATATTTGCAGAAAGAAATTATTTCCTTAATTTACTAAGTTTGATAATATGTATACTAATGAATAAATAGTACTTTAATATTTTATGTCACACCTCTCTAATAAATATTGTGCCTATATTAACTAAATTAAAATTTTCCAAGATATTATCTCAAGGTTTGAACATCTAGCACATTATTCATTGAATTAACACTCATACTTCTATCAAATAATTTGTAAACTATGTAGTAATAATTCTTATTTTATTATGTTTAATTTTATTTTTTTCTATAAAAGTACAATCAAATATTTATTTATCATTCATATCTTTAATTACCAATAGAATTAAATTTATTAGTTTTCTTATGAAGAATACTTCTTTCCTTGCTTAATGTAAATCATGATTAATTAAACTAATTTTTATAATATCAGCATACCAAATCCACTTTTTAGGTTGAAAATTTATTTAATATTATACATAATTCTGTTAACGTATTTAAGTTATTTAATGATTTTACCCTTCAAATATCATTTAAAAGCTTTATACAACCAAACTTTATGATATGATATGATTCTTATCTATACATTTTTATTAATTTTGTAATGATGAAATGTACAGTTTCAAATAAATTTAAGAAATTTGGCCATATCTAAAGAATATGAAAAAATACAGATTTATTTTAATAGACTTTTTAGTTGGGTTGAAATGTAAAGATTTTATTAAAGGTTATTTATCTATAGTTTCTCTGTATTACATGTTTATCCTAATGTTATACCATGTATATATGGTAGACAATTTGATATATAACATAACAATCTGTAAACATGTAGGTCTAAACTTAATAATATACTAATTAATGACTACTAATACATTTGACTTATACCAACTAACACTTACTCAAAATGTAATTATCATTCTCATCAATCATTAACATTATTTTGTAGTATTTTCCTAGTAATTCTTCTTATAAGAAAATGCCCTCAATCTTCTTAAAATCTAAATGTATTTAATCAAAAAATCATTAAATGTTCAATTATTACACTATTTAGTTTAAATTCTGTTAGTATTATTTTAAAAGAACACATGTTCAGTTTTAACGTTAATTTTTCAAAAAATATATCGTATTTTAAAAATTAATAATATTTTAACTTTGTGTAGGTATGTTAATTATTTTGTCTGTGTGGAATTGCATGGCAAATTATATGTTATATTAATAGTGTTTTCATTCAATTTTTAAATAGTGAAAAAATAATTGATTATTTATAAAATAATTTCTTTAGAAAATTTCAACAATGTAATATTGGATGCAGTGATAGATTTATCTCATTGGAATAATGACGTCAATTTTACCGAGTTAAAAAAAAAAGATGGTATTATTGCAGTTATTCATAAAGCTACAGAAGGTCGTTTTACTGTAGATCCTAAGTATAAAACCCGTAAAAATGCTGCTCTTGAACAAGGGTTGTTATGGGGTGCTTATCACTCAGGTGTCAATGCAGATGGTGCTACTCAAGCCCGTCATTTCATCAAAGCTATTGGTGATATAGTGAATACTTTGATAGTATTAGATATTGAAATTAAAAATGAAAATTTCATGACACCAACACAAGCCGAAGATTTTGTGAAAACTGTTCAAAACTTGACTTCAAGTTTTGTTGTAATTTATGGAAGTTATTTCCCTTTACAAAGTTATGCTACACCTTTATTAACTAAATGTCCACTATGGATTGCTGCATATCATACAAGCTCACCCAAAGTACCTGATGGTTGGAATAATTGGAAATTATGGCAGTACTCAAATAATGTTATTGATAGAACTAAATTTCATGGAACTTTAAATGATTTGAAAGAATTTTGGCCAAATGAAGAACGGCGTTTATGGGAAATAAAAGTTTTATTGGAATTCAAAAAAATCTTATTGGAGGAATCCAAAACTTAAAAATTCATAAAATACTTTTACCAAGTACTTCAAAATTAGTGATTGTTATGTGATAATAGTAATACTTGTAAATTTTTATTTAAATTTGTTTTTTCAATTTAAAGGGATACTAAATTTTTTGTTACTTTTTCTATGTTTATAAATTCAGTTGAATTAAAATAAAATGATTAGTCTTATGAAAACTGATAAGTTATACTGTTTAATGTCAATGATTGCAATGAATAAACTTTACTAAACAAACCGCAAATATTTAAAAAGTAACTACAACGACTATTCTAACTTTTACTATACTTTAATAACTACATATTAGTTTATCTAGTGTTCATAATTAATACCTACTGATCACATCTTAATTTACTAAAATAGATTAAAAAACTATATGCTCTACTTGATCAAATTTGTAGAGTTAAATAAACACAAACAAAATTACATTCAATTCCTTAATAAAAAATTGTAAATAAATATTTGGGTCTAACAAGTTACATAATCACATTTCAATCCTAAATTTATATGGTTATTTATGATATTGCATATTGCACTTGGGATTGTTGGTTATTGATTACTATATATTACTAACTATTTACCAAACATTTTCTTTGGCATTTGTAAACTATCCAAGAGTTAATCAAAATGAACGATATACTAATTGGTGCAATATATTTTTAATAATAATTTCATGACCTTAAAAAGTGGTGGAGGTGCTTCACTTTAATAATGATTGAAAATAGGAATTTAGGAATTATTAAGTATTATATTAAAACTAAATTTAGTAATGTGCATTTAAGTATCAAAGATCAAAGATGTAAATTTGTATAAATTCTAAATATTATTGTATAATTTTATAAAATGTTAACAGTATTTTTTATTTAATAATATTTGTTTTATATGCAAGACTGATAAATAAAACTCGATGTATACATTAATTTCTCATAAAAATTTATTTTTAAAAACACATATTACTGAATTCAGTTATTACTGATTTTCAATTATATTGATTATTTAATTAGAAAAAGAAACAAATGTCTTTCACATTTAAACTGTTGTTCTTGCGTGGATTTATGAACCCATTAAAATATTTAAATTAGAATTTTTGAAATGCTCTTTAAATTTAAATTATATTCAATGTAATTTTTTATTTTTATATTAAAATTAGAACATTAAAACGTATGTATTATTAGTTGTATAGAATACCATTATTGTTTAATGTTACTATTCTAGTTTATAATTAATTCATAATGAGTATTATCATATCAATTCTGTTTAATTTTAAATTTTCTTTAAAACTACTTTTACCTTTAAAATGTTATCATATTGTAAGCTAATATGTACGGTTTATAATAAAAAATTTTATTTTATGTAAACATAGCTATCTGTGTTAATTATTTTATTTTTCAAATGCATCATTAAGGTTTCCGACCTCCACATGCACATCTGTATATTATTATATCGCATTTAATCGCTTAATAATGCTAATCTCGAGGAGAAGAAATTTTGAATCGAGTTGTTTGAAGATTTGGTGGTTAACAAAAAAGTGAATAAACTATAATTAATTTTATTAAAGGCATTTATGACTTAATATTATCTGTACTGTCTTTCTACACATTTACGGCTCTATTAACGATTTCATTTCTCTATTACTATTAGTTATAAATATGGATTTACTAATTTAATTCGTCTATAATACAGATATTTCTATAGTAACAATAAGACACTATAATGATCATATTACCTTTAAAACGGATAATTTTTTAATTCTTTGTTATTCGTTTGGATATCTTCTTTTTAAATATATTAATATATATATTTATATATTTTTGCTGTACATAATGAGAGGGAAATGCAGATTTCATTATTTGTAAATCAAACAAGGTGATTATTTTAATAATAACTACTCGATTTCTTCTAAAATAATTATCATGTTAAGAAAATAATTTTTAGTGTTTTATTTTCAAATATTTTTAGATTTATCTGTTATTACTTTTTTAATTTATCTGTAATAGCTTATAAAGGTGTTAACTTAATTTTTGTAAGTAACAAACTTATATATTTAACTAGCTTATAGAATAGAAAATATTATTCCGAATGACTGGTCCTAAAATTACTTTTGACTAGTCATTTTCTTAGTTAGATCATTTTCTATTTTAAAATTTTGTTAAATATGTATGTTGCCATAAAAAAAAAATAACTTAACACCCTTATAAGGTCTAAGAGATGAATGAAAAAAGTAATTAATAACTGATAAATCAAAAAATATATGAAACTAAACAAATCTTAAAATTATTTTCTTAACATAATAATTATTGAAATAGAAATCGAGTGGCTAACGTTAATAGAATCAACATATATGTATAAACATATATTTATTATTATTATTTTTTTTAATAAAAGAAGGAACCTCTAATTAATGACAAAAAATAAATAATCATTAATGTGTCTTATCTTACCTCTGTGTACACAATATTCCTTCTTGCTTGTGTTCTGTGAAATGTCATCACTGAATTATATTGGAACTATTGAATTTGTGGAAGCAGTGCTAAGGAAGTAAAATTAGTACGTTTATTATTTTTATTTCAGCGGTCGATTTGAGTTCAATTGAAACGAAAACCGGACAGAGAGACATTGATGGTTTCCCCATTCCTGTAGAATTCGTTCACCATAATTATGATAAACTCGTTGCAAAATTAAATTTAATCAATGTCAATTATCCAAATATAACCCGACTTTATAGTGTGGGCAAAAGTGTAAAAGGAAGAAATCTGTACGTGCTCGAAGTGTCTTTAAGCACAGGACATCATCAACCTGGTAATAACTAATAATTCAGCGAAAGAATAAGTGATTTTTTTCTTAATGTTTGGTGTTGTGCGGCGTGTGTTAGGTAAGCCAGAGTTTAAGTACGTTGCAAATATGCATGGCAATGAAGTTGTAGGACGAGAGTTAATATTGTTGTTGGCTCAGTATTTGTGCCAAAATTACGGTTTTGATAACCGCGTTACGAAATTGGTGAACAACACTCGAATACATCTTATGCCTTCGATGAACCCTGATGGTTACGAAGTGGCTAAAGAAGGTAACAACTTTAATTATTTAGAATTTAGATTAATTTTTTTATTTTTAAAAGAACAACATGTCATTGTTGTATTTATTCATTTTAGGAATCGAAGATCCAAATGATTTGTTAGGTAGAAATAACGCTAACAATGTCGACTTAAATAGGAATTTCCCAGACATTCGTCATCCTGAACACGTAAGCTCAATTTATTTGAACAAATTTATTATTTATAACTCTATTAATAGAATGTGTATTTTTGTTTCGGATACCGAGGAAATAATAAATGGGTAACATTAGAACAATGGGGTCTAAATAATCATAGATGAGTATCGGTTTCATTCGCATAATTAGGATTTAATTTTAAAGAGTGGTAACATTTTACACTATTCCCTCTAAACAAAAAAACTGTAGCACAGTGGGGTTGTGGCATAGTTGGGACAAGTATAGATGATATCTGACAGTATTAAAATCACTATCATAAGAAACGCTTCGATGCAAATCTGTTGATAGTGTTTAATTTTAAGAAATTGGTGGATTATTTAAAAGTAAAATTCTAACTCAAGAAGAATTGAGGAAAAACGTTCATAGCATTTGTCGTTTGATAAAATTGGTAATTTAAAGCTGATTCAAATGTTAAAATTACTTTTTTCATCTTAAAAGAAAAAATCATTGAAATAAGTTTAACTTTATATTATATGTCAATTAGATTTATATAATATTCATGAAAATCAGTGTACTCTCCTTATAAGGTATATTAAAATACAATACCAAGAATTTTAACACAAAAATAGCGTATTTTTATGAAACCGTTTTCACTATATCTCGATTTTTTTTTTTCATAATAAAGTATATTACATACGCTTTAATTTAAAATTAAATAAAAGTGTCAATATTTCCGGATGATTTTCAAAAATTATTTTGAAAAAGTTTAAGTTGTGTAAAAATTGTTATTTTGAATACCCCCTGTAATCAAAAGTCAGATATTCAAAAAATGTATATCAAATGTAAGAAAAATATCTAAGGTTTCAATATAAAAAAGAATTATTTTGATTTGTTCATTTTACAAAAAGTTATGGCAGTTATAAATATTAAAATATTTCATGTTAAACAATGATTTTTTCATAAAAATTCCATTTTTCGTTAAATTCGATGGCCATTTTCCCATAGACGAAAAGGTGTCTGGAAATTTTTTTTTTTTATAACTTATAGTATTTATTGCAAGCTTTAATTTAATATATATTTAAATCTTGGAGTATTTCCGTAACATTTTCAAAAGTTAAAATGAAAAAGTTCTGCTTTTTACTCGTATTTTTATACGCCCCTTTATATAGAAAAATGGTCCGATTTAAAAAAAAGATGTCGGATGAAAGGTATGTATTTATTTAAAAACAAAAATTTGTATTAATCCATACATATTTGGAAAAATTATAGTTATTTTAAGTTGAAAAAATACAATATGAAATCGTAAATTTTAATACCAAAATTGCATGTTTTTTAACTACGGCAACCATTTGCACATAGAATATAAGTCGTCAGGAGAATTTTTTTTTTTTAACTTGTAGTGCATAACATTAGCTTTATTTTAACATATGTTTGAAGCTCAGAATATTTCCTGAACATTTTCAAAACATAAGTTGAAATAGTTAAATTTTTGTGCAGAAGTTGCTATTTTGAATCCCCCCTGTGGGCAGGTAAAGGGTAAAATCTATTGTTAAAACTTTTATTTCAGTGCACTAAATTCATTGTATATCGTTGTATAGATAGTAACACAAGAACCTGAAACTAATGCAATCATCGATTGGCTTCAGAACATTCCATTTGTCTTAAGTGCTAATCTTCATGGTGGAGCTTTAGTTGCTAACTATCCCTTTGATAGTAATCCATCATCAATCAACTCCCGACCGTCGTATACACCAGATCATGATTTGTTTATGCTTCTGGCTAAAACTTACTCAATGGTAATAATTTGAACATAATTATTAATTATACTGTATAACAAATGAACAGTATAATTACTAATAAAGTATAAATATATGATTCAATTGCAAAAGTACTTGTGTCCAATTTTTTTTGTTACAATTTTACTTTTTTCGGATAAAATAGATTGCATATTAAAAAAAAAAATTGGAGACATCCTTTTGCAACTGGACGACTAAAATATTATTTATGCTCCTTTGTATAATACTACTACAATTAAGTTCGGGGTTGTTTTTAGGCCCATCCTCAGATGCATCTTAACAAAAAGTGTGTAAACGACTCTGATTTCATAGTTTTTAAGGATGGAACAGTTAATGGAGCTTATTGGTACAGCGTGGTAGGCGGTATGCAAGATTATAACTATTTGAACACAAATTGTTTTGAACTTACGATGGAACTGGGCTGCACCAAATTTCCATGGAAAAAAGACCTTAGAAGTTACTGGACTGCCAATCGAGAACCTTTGATCATATTTATGGAACAAGTACACAGAGGAATCAAAGGTTTTGTGTTTAACTATAAGGGTCAAGCTATACGAAATGCAGAAATTTCAGTTGCAGGCATAGATCATAACGTCAGGTCAGCAATTGATGGGGATTATTGGAGATTGTTGCCACCGGGAAACTATGATGTTTCGGTTACAGCTTATGGGTAAGATGATATTGCTGATAAGTTATTCTTTATTAATTCTGTCTAACACCCAATTTTTAAAGTAAATAATAATACCATTTCTGTAAAAATTAAACAATACAAACCTCAGTAATACTGTCTAAAATCGATGAATAAATTTTTGACGGAAACTGTTAATTTTTTATCAGAGATGTACTTATAAATTATTAAAGTTAAAGGCTAACTTTTCTACCGTTGAAAATATTTTTGGTCAACAATTTATAATGGGCAAGTAAAAGAAACAACCATATACAGTGTCCCAGAGTTTTCTGATAAATTCCATAACTTTTGATCTACTAAATATATTTTGTTATTTTATTTTTTAGTTTTCACAGTTTTGGACTATGTTGAAATATTTTTTTTATTATGTCGCTAATAAGAAAAAAGAATTTTTTTTTTTTCAATTTCAAAATAGGTATTTTTTAGATATTATCAGACGAAAAATGCCCAGGGTAAGTACTTATTGAGTTACAAGAATTTTAATGTATTGAGTGGATTACTAGCGCGGATCGATACATTCCTACTTGTTTATATTATATATATATATATATCTCCTGCACAACGTATTTACTCTGTATATTAAAACTCTTGTAACTTAATAAGTACTTATTCTGAAGTTGTTATCTATCCTTGAAAATTATTTATAAATAAAGAGCTAAAAAATGTTTGTTTTTAAATTCCCAAAAAAACTTTTTTCTAATTAGTGACAAATAATAAAAAATGTATTTTTAACGTAATCTATGACTGTAAACTAAATTAACAAATATTATAGTATATTAAGTGGATCAAATATTATAAAATTTGTCAGAACAGTCTGGGACACTTTGTCCTTCCTATATTGATTTCCTCCTAAATCATCTCCCTTGGAAATAAGGTATAATAGTAAGTAGACACATAGCCCAAAAATATCAGTCGAGGAAAGGGGACAAAAAATGTTTGACCCTTATATCATTTTCCATAGAAATATTCGCGAGGATTATTTTACCTCTATCTAATGTCTAATGAAAGATAGAGGTGGATTTTTAATCTATGCGTAGGTGCACATAAGGGAGGTCAGAAGGTGTTTAGCACTCACAATTTATGAATTAGTATCCAACTTTTGCAATTTCGCAGTTAATTAAGAAATCAAGATAAAGGGTCAGAATCATAGTAGTTACAAATAAGTTTTTTTAATATTTTTTGACTTTGTTTTTCATAAATATTTTTATAATTAAGTAAAGTGTCATACGTCTATTACATAAAAAAAAGTTATTAATTATATTTAAAAAGTATGTATCTACGTTAAAAAAACAATATAGGATAAATTAAAAATTAAGAATAATTAAATTAATCTATTTAAATACGTGGAGTTGAAAAAAATGTATGAAATTAATGGTATTTGGAAATTAATTAATATACACAAAGAAAAGATGAGATTTAAATTATAATTTGCGATGCGAGATTTTTTTTTAATTTGATGCATTACGATTATTAAAATGAATAATTTATAGGTTTTATTTTTGAATCAATAGCATCTAGTATTTTCGTTCGTAAAACGTTCAAAGTTTTTTTTCTTATTATACATTACGATAAAAGAAAATTACTAGCGTTGAATACAAAACGTAACTGGATATCCGACTATTAAGTATTACATTTATTGACTTACTGAACACTCTGTATAAATCAGTAGCTATTATTCAAAAAATGATATGTCACTTTTAACAATTTATCAGCAGAGAAAAAACAAATTAAAAATGTTAATAGTATCTTATGGAAAATAATATTTTTTAAATGCAAATAAACAAACCTCAATGATAAAATTGATTTTATAATTTTTGGGTGATAAATAACCTTCTCCTACAGATTATAAAAATTTCAAAAATCCATTTATGTTTCTATTTTTAAATATTGTTTTATAGGAATTAAAAATAAAGTATAATTGTAATACCCAATAATAATCACAATAAATATAGTTTAATGTACATACGCATTTTTCATAGTTTGTGAAAATAATGATATTTTTATTTGGGGAGTCAGCTCTACATACCCTAAATATTTTAGGGTATATCAGGTATATGGCTATATATCTAGTAATAAGATTCGACCTCTATTCTTTTAGTATGCCCTAGTATTTTACAATCATAACATTTGTTATATTTTATTTATATAACTATTATATATTAGGTACAAAAAACTAACACATTCTGTTTATGTGGAAAACTCAACAATTCCGACCTGGTTAAATTTCACAATGGAAAAAGAAAACTTATCAGTTTGGTCTAGAAAAAATGACTTTAATATAGAAAGCAATATAGCCAAATTAGAATTATACAAAGATAAAGAAGTGTTTTTAAATGAGCTTAGAGATTTAGAAAATAAAGCATCCAGCATTGCTCAGTTAATGTCACCTCAAGCGCCTTTTGGGATCATTGGCGAATCTATTATTGCATTTAAAATCACTAAAGATGTAAGTTATCTTATTACTAAATGAGTACAATGTTATTATTATATACAGAGTAATTTTTTTAATGCTAGCCACTCAATTTCTCTAAAAATATTAAGTTTTTTGAAAAAGTGTTTTGGGTTTTTTTTAGTTACATATGTATTTTCATTTGTCTGTTATAAATAATTTGCAGGTTCATCTTTTATATAGGGGTGTGAACTTCATTATTTTTTTAATGGCAACATTCACATAAAACTTGCTTATAAAATAGAAAATGAGAACTTTTGTACATATTTAACTTTTATATAAATAGTATTCCAGAAGTTATCTTATTTTCATACCTAAAGGTGAAAGGAAGAGTACAGTTAGAAAATTACTAGTAATAAAAATAGCAGCATTTACCCATTTATTCCTTACTTTAAATTGTTAATAACTTCTGAAATATTGGTTCAAAAATTGTTATCGACCAGTTAATTTTCTGTTTTATAAGCAAGTTTAATGTGTATGTTGCCATTAAAAAAAAATTAAGTTCACACCTCTATAAGATATAAGGGATGAACCTGCAAATTATTTATAACAGACAAATGAAAATACATATGTAACTAAAAAAACCCTAAAACATTTACAAAAAATTAAATATTTTTAGAGAAATTAAGTGGCTAGTGTTAAAAGAATTATTTTGTATAAACTATATAAAGATTTTTTTATATTTTTTAGGTTGGGTCACCGGACGAATTTAAATTTAAAGTTGCTATTTTGGGAGGTTTGTATGACAACGAACCTGCTACTCGAGAGATTCTTTTAAATCTAGCCAAACATTATGTTGAAGGCTATAGAAAAGGCAACAAAAATATTATTTCTTTGCTATCAAATGTAATTTTATACTTAATTCCTTACTATGAACAAAAGGCGAATTATGATAAAAAGTGTTTAACGGATGACCAAAGTGATCTTACTGGACCTCGTTTAATTGCTACAAATCAGCCTAGTGATAAAAAAACTACTGATAGTCTTTGGAGAATGTTGCAAAAGGAACAATTTGATTTGATGTTCAGTTTAGAAGGAGGTGCCATGTCTATAAAGTATAATATAACATTATTTGCATTTTTAAATCGATTTTTTTTATTAAATAATTGAATTATTTAAAAATTTCTAGTGGCCCTACAACTCAACCCAGAAATATTGTATCTTTATTGTTTCGCGAGTACGAACAACTATACTATAATAGCCATATTAAAAGTGTAAGTTAAATAATTTATTATTTGTCAAGGCTTTAATAGGAAAAGTTATTATCTTTGCTAATAATATAGTTCCTTAACCACTATGTACAGTATAATTATGAGTATTGTTTTATTTGTTATCTTTTTTACATTTAGAGCTGTGGAGATTTAACTGATTTAAAAATTAATGATATTAAACAGAATGTTTTAGATAATTTCAATAATATATTAAAAATAAAAACTGTGAGTAATTAATGAATTTTCAAATCATTATTATACATTTTTATTACTGTTTTTTATAACTTTTAGATGTCAATACGTTTAACATGTTGCAATTATATAGACTCTACTGAAGTAGCATTTGTCTGGATGGAAAGCTTGCATATGTTAGAATCAATTATATCTCAAAGTTACCAAGGTGTTCGAGGGATAGTTAGGGACTCATCAGGCAAGCCATTAAGGTCTGCTATTATTACTGCTGATCAGTTTGGTGATATTTATAAAGTAACTTCTAACTCTGCTGTTTACAAAGCACACTTGCCTTTAGGCATGCATCGACTTCATGTAAGAGATTAATGTTATTATAAATTTGTGTGTATTACTTAAAAGTCATATTCTATTTTTAGGTAAAAGTAACAGGTTATGAAACTAGAACTGTTTGGGCTAATGTATATAGCGGGAATGTTACCGAACTTAATATTGTAATGTCAAATGAGAAAGGTTATGCAGAAATTCAACAACTAAACAATAAAATTAGGGGTACTGCTCAAGCATTTTATATATATATTTTAATATATTGAAAAATTCTAACTATATTATATACCAATTTGATTGTATTAGGATTTGTTGTTGATGTTATGAATAGTCCTATAGAAGATGCAGTTGTAATTGATAAAACATCATCATCAGTCACTAAAAGTAATAAAAATGGTTTCTATGAGTTACCTGTAAGCAAAGGTAGTTTTGTTTTAAATTATTTAATATTTATTCTGCTAAATTATAACTGCTCCTTTTAAATCCTAGTATAATTTATTCTAATATATATATATTATACATATGTATAAAAGACCTTGAAAATGCTTTAATAATCTAACTTATACAAAACGTGTATTCATTTATGAATGGGTTAAAACTTTCATGGATTGTCTTGTTGCTTGAAATGCTTGGGGATATATCCATGTATACAGTAGAGTTCGAAACGTCAGAACTCACCTGTAAACATGGATATATCCTCAAGCACTTCAAGCAAAAAGTGTATTCATTTTGTACAAAATACATTGTGAAAAATAAATTTCTTTAATTTATCTATATTTTAAAGGAAAATCATATATACGAGTTGAAGCTAAGGGATATTATCCATCTACAAAGTTGATTGAAATTTCAGATTCATTAAATGAAAAACTAACAGTCAAGTTGGAAAAAGATTTAAGAGTATTTAATATGTCAAGAATGATGTTTATAGTGCTTACAGGTATTCTTATAGTTTCTGTAATGTAACATTAATAATAGGATTTTAAAAAAAATGTTGGAATTTATTATTGTTATATTTTTTTATTTGTTTTTGTAGTTTTTGTAAGTTCTGTTCTTGGAGTAAGTTGGTATCACTTTTATCTACGATGGAAATCTGGAAGGCCATCAGCATTTGCTTACCGAAATGGATTTGCCTTATTACCTCAAAAACCTTATCTTTTTGATGATGATGATGAAGTGGAGCTTTTCCGAAGCCCTCACCATAAATGTATGCATAAAAAAATTGTTGAAAATAATATTTCAATCCTGTTATTTTATTTATTTAATGAACTACTGTTATAGTATGTTACTGATTTTATCTATAAATTGTTTCTATTAAATCAAATTTCTATTTTTAAAATGTATTTATCATTATGACTATTATTAAAAAATGTAGATTTATTATGTTAGACACTAAATTTTAGCTTTAATATAAAGCTGAGAAAGTAACCCAATATCTTTGTTTTAAATTTAAAACTATTTTAAGTAAAACCAATAGTTTCTAAGTTTTTTTAATTTATTTCATTATTTTTAGATTCTTTGTCTAGACCATACCATGATGAGTCTGATGTCAGTTATGATGATGGTTCAGATGCATCAAATTCATACTAAGTTTCCCAAAACAAATTGCTATACTTAAATTTAAATTCTTGATTGTACAATATTTAACTACTTAATATCATATTTTTAATAATCAAATTGTTAATATTTTAGTTATTATTTCTATTGTTATTGAATATGTTGTTTTTAAATATTTGTGTAAATAATAATTAGTGCAATCTCTTAATTTTTATTTAAATTTTAAGGTAATTAAAAATTTAACGTGATACTTAAATTAAATTTTAGTAAATTTACAACAATAATTTTTAATCATAACTAATGAACAACTATTAGGCTTAATGTGTAAGGATACTTATTGAAGTAATTTTAAAATTGTAGACTAATACTGTAAGTTGTAAGTAATTTTATAATTAACTTGTAAAATACTTTGAAGAGAACTCAAAATGTTTATCCAATAAACTATTTTTACTTTTTTAAATAAGCTTTTAATTTTTTAATGGTAATTTATTTAATTGAATGTTATATACAAATGTTATAGTTACTCTTTTGAGTCTAAATCCAAAAATTATATTTTCAGAAATTATTTACAGAATTTATATAGTTGATACATGTCCTTTATGAGATTTCATTTGATGGTCTTTAGCAAGATGGGTATCCAAAAATAATTGTCTGCCAAAAGCTTGGCGGCACATCATACACTTAAATTTAAGTCTACCTTCTTCATGCATTTTCAAATGTTTTTTATAATTGCAAAATGATACAAAAGATCGATCACACACATCACAGGTATGTTGAACCATGTGTTCCTGTACATGGTTACTTCTAGACACCTACATAAAATTTATACATTTTTGGTAAGGAATTAATTTTGATGATAAGATAAAAAAACAGTTATAATTTACCCAATTTTTAAAATATCTAGGACAATAAAAGCATTTAAATTGTTTTATGCCAGAGTGACCTTGTTCATGATTAACACGGCTACTTGAAGCACTAAAGGTTTTTTCACATCCTTCATGACGACATTTATAAGGTCGCTCTTTAGTATGGACTCGCATATGTTTTTGAACAAGATCTTTTAACCTAAAGCAGCGCCCACAAACAGGACATGCAAATGGTTTCTCTCCAGTATGCACTCTTTCATGATTTACCTATAATAAATATTAAGATTATGCATATAACATTTTTATTTTTATATAATTTTTTTTACTTTTTCGATTGGCTTGACAAAAGTTTTTTTACAAAATCTACATTCATGTAGTCGGCGTAAACGCTCTGGTGGTTCTATATGTGTAATTGCGTGATGTTTTAAAGAATTTTTATCATTAAATTGAGCATTACAAATATCACATATAAGAATTTCTCGTGGTTTTCGGCGCATTTCGTGTGCTTTTTGGTGACATTGAAGACGAAATTCTGAATCATAACATTTATTGCATATACTAAAATGTAAGAATAAATAATTAATGTCTGATAAGTCAAAAGAAGAACACAAGTAATTTTTAGTTAAGAAATAAAAAATATAGAATATGAATTTATTTCTAAGTAGGCCAATGTATTTGTAGAATTTTTTTTTAAGCCTATAAAGTTATTACTATTTTTATATATAATATTCAAAATAACATTTATTTAATTTTCAAAAAATTATTTTATTTTAGTATAAAGTAGTTAACGCACTTGCATAAAAATTTTAAATTTGAAAATTCCGGATTTTGATGGGCTATCAAATGTGTATCCATCATTTCTGGGGCTACAGGCTGATCACAAAATGGACACTTGTTTGAATCATTTACATGAACCATAAGATGTGTTCTCAAATAGCCTTCCGAATCAAATTCTCCATTGCAATGAGGACAAATGTGTTGTGACCGATTATTAGTAGTGGTACGATTATTTTTAACCACTGAATTTTTAGATTCTATACTTTTTTTGGCTTTAGGTGTTACAGGTTCATCATATTTACAGAAATGCTTATTAAGTTTGGACCAGTGATCTGATTTAGTATTACAATTAATACATTTCCAACTTAAAAGCAAACAACCATCAGTATTTTCTATTTGTACAATATCATTTAATTCTGATGCTTTTTCTAATATAGGAATAACTTTAATGTTAGATGGTTTGCTTTGAAATAATATTTGTTCAATTTGAAAGCAGTCGGTCTTAGATTTTAACCTAATAAGGCGAATACGTTTTTTAAAACTAAGTTTGCGTGCTTCAACTTGAAAGTAATCATTAACTGCATCTGACGCTTGATGAAGTTTATAAATAGGGGTATCATAATAACGATCACCATATGCATCTGTTATGCAATGATCTGAATAAATTTTATCAAGTGGGTGACTATTCAATTCATTAATTTTTTGTTCTTTAATTTCTTTATTAAAGTCTTCAGGTTCATCAGTTAAGGTTGATAATTGTTCATTTAAATTACCTCCTACTAATTCTTTCTGATTAGTAAAAAAATGTCCATTTCCCCATTTAATCCAAGTTCCTAGTAATGGATCTTGTTTTTCAATTAAATTGGCCATATCTTTTAAATTAGTTGCATCTTCATTTGCTGAGACCTAAATATAAAAAAATTATGTCTAATTATTTTCAAATATTTAAACAATTCATAAATCTATATTTCTTAAATATCTGAAAAAGAATAAATTATTAATCAAATACCAATTATTTAGTTCACTTTAAAATAAAAATAAAATAGAATTAATGTTTTTAAATTTATAGTTATCTATTACGTCCAATTATATATTTTAATAAATAATAGATTGAAAATATAATGAAATTATCTATACTAAAACAAAAACATTCATTCATATGTTTTTCTTAGTTATAATAATTTTTACCTGAAAAACTACTTCTTGTCCTTTGTGACAACTATTTATGTGATCTTGAATCGAAGGGAAATTGATATTGCACTCTGAACAGTGATATAAATTTACTTCTTCTGTACATACATTTTCTACTACAGATCTTGCAGTTTTTGTTGCTTCACGAACAGTAAATTCTTCAATAAATTTTTTTACTTCTCTTGGTTCAGTATCAGATGGATGTTCATCGTTCTGATAAATTTCCTCTTTAACTAAGTTATCATATTCAAGATCTTGTTCTTCATCTGTAATGATGTTTTAATAATAACAAACGATAAATTATTAATACATTGATTCTTACCATCTGGGTATACAACAATCATTTCATTATCTGGAATATGTTTATCTACATCTTCCTGTTTATCCGAACACATTTTGTCCAAATGCACTACTAAAGAATTTATGTTATCACATTGTTTTCCACAGAAAGGACATTGAATGTTTGTTGTCAAGCTCAAAAGGTGATACTTTAGGAGATCTTGATTTGAAAAGCGATCTTCACAACATAAAGGACACGCAACACTATCCATTGATTACTGAAAAATTGACTACTTATATTATAAAAAGATAAAAGTAATTTATACTAAGTATTAAACAGTAATTATAGAGAAATTATAAAAAGTGCAGGTATAATTCTTTATATTATTATATTATCATATAAATTAACGTGAACTCACCTGATATTGAAATATTTTTAATATTATACAACAAAGTAAAAAGTTTAAAAATTATTATAAAATTAAAATTGAAATAAAATTATACGTTTAAATTATTTTTAAAATGTGCCGCCTAAACGCGTTAGTAACTTCAGAAATGTAAAAGAACAGTCCTAGTCTACATTATGTTATATACAACATTAATGACATTAACTCTATGTGAGCCGCCATTAAAATCGGAATAACAAGCAATCTAAAATACGGTGGCTAATCAGAATGTCGCAGAATCATACAGTATGACCAACATAAAATCTAATATGTCACTTCTTACTACTCTTGACCCTATAGAAGATGCAGNTATTGAAATCAAAAGCAAAGATATTATCCAGATAAAACAGGTTAATAATTAACTGATCTCATTTCCTATTAGTTCATGTAGCCTTAGAAAGTTACTTTAATAAGATATAATTTTTAATAATATATAAAATGTATATTATAATAAGGTTAGAAAAATTAAAGCTCTAAAGACCTAAATATGCATACAAGAACTTAATAACCAATAATACTCTTAAATATGCACTCAAAAATGTATTCATATATTTTTGCTAAGAAAATTATTTTAAAATTAATAATAGTTCATTAACAATTTTTTTTATTAATTTATGTTTGAACACTTTAATAAAGCTATGAGTGTCTAGGTAAATCTATTAACTTACTCATTTCATCATTAAGTTTAAACAAAAAATTTGATTAAAAATGTTTAAAGAACAATTTGGAATATAATTTTATGTCTGAAAATTTAAACATTTCAAATATCAAAAACTGATATATATATATATTACTAATACATTTTTTTTAAATATTTGTATATAATAATTATGTAGATAATCACAATTATTTTTACCCAAAAAATTACAATAAAAGTATTACAAAAATTAAATATAAGTAAAAGCATTGTACATGAATAGCATCAAAAATTAACAATAAATAAATCAATCTAATATAATAAAGTGAAAAAATAATTGTAAGAATGTCATTTTTTTTAATAAGATAAGAATGAAATATATTTAAAAAAAAAATTAAATTGCAGTGATAAAAGTAAATGAAGGTAAATGAGTCGTCCAGTTGCAAAAGTGCGTAAGTCCAATTTCAACCAAAATCGATATTTTACCATTTTCTTTTTATTTGTCCATCATTGATTTCTTGTACAAATTCTCAAGTTTCAAAACACGTTATTTCCTACTTAATTTTTAATTTAAAAATTGAATACAGTTGCAAAACAGGGTAAGTCCATTGGTATTGTGATACCAAAAAGTAGTATGTCCCGAGTAATTATAGTACAGCTGCAAAACGGAGTAAATCCCTATCCATTGGTTCCATGTGTTCAAGCACACAATTACAAAAGTTAGTACAGGTACTTTGTTCATCGATTCATTCAACCATTTTTAAGTAAAATTAATATAAAAATGGTTTTAGCTCAGTTTATGGTTTAATATTATATAGAAACATATTGGTTTAAAATACTTGTGATAACATTTTGATACGGTAATCTGGAAGGATTTCATGATAATAATATTACCTCGCGCGTAATAGTAATAGTTTCATTAAATAACTCAATGCAAAACAATAATATAATTTCAATTGCAACACCCGGGAATGCAAGGAAAAAGACTGCAGTTCCATCTCAATGGAAACGAGAAAAGGAAAAACGACGAAGGTAAATCATTGTTTTTATTTTATTTACTACGTTTAATATTTTATGTAATATACAAATAGTAGNAGAAGGTTATATTTAAATATTTTTTTAAAAGTATCCTAAGAAAATTAACAATTGTACTTATATCTAATGAAAATTAAATATTTACTTATAATAAGTATATAATATTTAAAAATCAATTCAATAATAATGATTTTCAGTTATACTTATTTATCACACACAATCTATAATAATTTTGTAAATAAATAATTATAAGATTTCAAGTACCTCAATTTATCTTTTACAATAATGAGTAAAATTAGTTACATATAATTAAAATTGTCACATAATATTAATGTAATGACTAATAAATAAAAATGATCCTTAAAAATAAACCTAGTATATATATTTAGTTAAATTATATTTAAATTTAAATTACTATGATCTAAAAATTAGTAGTTAAGACAATTTGATATTTAATTTTAAATATGAGGCAATAACAACGATAAAGAAGATGATATTTATGAATTCAATTCTCAGATATATCTTGTAATAATTTAAAAGATAATTAAAAAATTGTTTTATATAAATTTAATCCTAACAATTTTGTAGTACATTTAAATAAAATTTAAATGAGATTTTAAATTTATTGGCACAACTATTGACAGAATCCGTAAATTATAGCTATTCTATGATAAAATTCAGACAAAGTGCGTTTCAAAGTAGGTCTAGTAGCTGATGCTGTTAACACTCTAACACCATTAAATATTACAGGCAAAAATATTTGAAATGAATTGTCATCTAATTGCACTAGTAAATCAAAAACAGATATCAACATTTCTGACCAAATTGATTCATGTACTTCACTATCCTAAATTAAAAATATTTAAGTGAATTTTTAGTTAGCCTTTAGAAAAATGAAAGTAAAATACACTATTTTGAAATCAATATATTTTACTTATAACAAATACATCTTATTTACTGTTTGTTTAACACAAATCCTAAAATAGCATGAAAATCAAAGTGTGTCTACCGAATTAAAAATACATGATAGAATCTTTTAATGTGTATTGTAGTTTTGATTGTAGAAATAGTAATTTTTGAACTTAACATAAAACTTTTTTTGCTCAATAATATTTTTTTTTAGGAGTGAAGGTAATCTTTTTTTTTTTAATGTAATATCAGCCTAAATAGCAAAGGGTTCAACTACAAAAATTTGAATTTTTTTTTTTTATCTAATTTGATAGATTTAAAAAAAAACAGATTGCCTATTGATATGTCATTGTCAATTAGTTTCAAATGACTTTTCAATTAATACCAATAATTAATAAATTTAACTTAATTCTTAGTAGCACTTAAGTCATACACTATTTATTGTAACAATTAGCCAATAGGGATAAACTTGTAAAAATAATGAGGCACCATAAAAGACGGTTAGATAATTTAAAACTTTAATGCTAAGAGTGAGCCTTTTAATGATGAACCTTGATAGTTGTGAGACATTAATAATAAACCTACTAACAGTTGGACACTTTGTGAATCATTAACTAGCAAAAAGATGAAACTAAAGTGAACAAACAGAAGTCATAAGATCAACTGATTAAACAGAAAAGACATAAAAATAGATATAGGGTGTGTATTATGGACTACAAAGTCTGAGTGCATGGGTAGTGACTATGCCCATCCTTTTAATAACTAAAACTAAACTAAATAGTCCTGTCAAGCCTCTCTATGTAAAAGTCTCAATGCTATGATTTATATTAAAATGTGACCCATAAAATTGAATGTATTTTAAATATTGAGGTTTAACAAAAATATATATATGGTAAACTTACTTTATTCATACTAATTTGTCTTAGCTCTTCAACTTCAGGAGGTAAATTATCTTCATTTTTTTCTATTGAGTCAGGACGACCAGGCATAGAGTTGGCACTTTTTCTTTTTTTGTATTCTTCAATTAAATTATCCAAATTTTCACAACTAGTTATTCCATATACAGCATCATCTTCATCACTCTCACTCTCTTCTGTTTTAGTTGTTAATGGTGCATTAGGATATAATTTTTTAAAATCTTCAAATTTAAAAACCTTTGTTTTTTCACTTGTTTCAAAAATTTCATCATTTTGAGCAACAAAGAAAAACACAGGTTTATCTGCAGCTTTATCAATGGCGCAATGTGTACCATATTTATCCATAACTATTTCAACATATTTTTCACAAGCATCTTCAAATATGCGTTTTAATTCAAGAATAAAATAATCAGTATTATTTGTAGACAATTTTAATTCTATTATATGTTTGACTTGATCTGATTTTAAGTTTGATGTTTTATGGATGCATAATTCAAAAAGAGTTACTATTAAAATGATCCAGGATCCTCCAGCTTGTTTATATAAGTTAGCAGCTTTTTCTAAACCAGCAACTTTTTGAATAAGAAATTTAAGACCAGGTCTTGAGTCAAATTCCCATGCTACTTTATAAGTCATATCTAAACATGAAATAAAAGAACGAATTTGAGACTCAGTTAACACAGATAAATAACCAGGCATAATAGGATTATTTGATGAATCTGTCACATTATCCTCCATTGGTGTCATTAAAAATGATTGTAAAAGAATGTTGGCTAAACTAAGGAACAAAGTTTATTATAGTTACATTTTTTTTTTACATTGTATTATTTATGAAAAAAAAAATTACCTAGGGATTGCTTTATTTGTGCCTTTAATCAACAAAATTCCTATTAATTGTAACAACATTTCGTTTACAAACAATCCTAAAACTATACTTTTATAAGGGATACGTTCAGGTGTATTTTGCCACTGAAAATCTAGTTCAGTATCACACCAATGATGGCAAAGTAAAAATATGAAACTTTTTTCATCGTCAACAACTGAATCTGTTTTTGTTTTTTGATAATCCAATAAAAATACCTAAAACATTTTTTAATTTTAATATTATTCTTTTTAAAGTTATACACCTAACTATTAAAATATTTTAATTGAACTATCAGTAAAATAAATAATAAACTAAGCATATAGAAGAGAATATAGCACTAAGTATCCTTGCTTAAATTAAGAATATTTAAATTGATACTTAAAAAATTTTCTTTAAATTCAGTAGAAATAATAACAAAATAAATCGAGTTAAAAGAGGACTTATTAATAAAATAAAAACCTAAAAATCAAATTAAAAAAAAAAAATTAAGACATTTTTTATAATGTCAAAGGACGTAATTGATCATTTTAAAGTGGTAATCAGATTTAAAATAAATAATATATATAAACAATAAACGGACTTTATTAAGAAGTTTTTAGTAGTATATCATTTAAAATGTTTCAGTTATTTATCATAAAATAATTTTAGTCCGAATAATACCTATTTTTTAGGAGTTATATCATATACTTATTAATCACTTTAAAACAACAATTGAACTAAACATACTTGCTGTGATAATTGCTTTAAACGTATATTATCATCAATAGTACTATCTCTTCTAGCAGCAACTTTAATACTAGTTGCTAAATCACCATAAAAACTGTCAGAAAATGGCCTATATGTCATAGAAACTCTTGTAAGGGGGTACAATGATAGAGCACATGCTCTTTGTATTCCCATGCTTATCAAATCCCATAGATACTCTGTAAAATAATTTGCAGCACCCAAAATAAGATGTCTTAAACATGCACAACCTAATCGAACAATACATTCAATAACTTGAACACAAAACTCATTTAATACAAATAGCAACTGTTTAATCATCAATGTAACTTCTTTTTCTAATATTCTATCATATTTTTTAATCATTTTCAAGTAGGTAACTATTAAATCAGTAGAATTTCCACAAAAATGTTTAAAGTTAAGCAAATCAGTTAAATTTTGTGTTGATGTAATTTTTTGTAACCAAGTTTGTATTGTTGGAAGTAGTAATCGATTAATACAAAAACAGCCAAATGTAAAGCCTGAAATGTAATTTTTTATAATTTATATAGTTTATTGGTATATGTTAATACTAAAAATAAATAAATAAATACCGGGTACTTCTGGAAAATTCTTTAACATATCTAAGAGTAATTCAATGGTCTCTCTTTGATATAAACCCGTTGTACAAGTAATTGCAGTGCAAAGTCCTTCTATAATACAATACCAAACCCTTAATATACTACAAGATTGATCAATTTCTTCTAGTTGAATAATTTTTTCATTTGACAAATTGAATAATAGTTTCTCATAGTTATTTTTAACAGAATTAATTAATTGTACATCAGTATCCACCAAAACAAATTCATGTTTACTAAATAAAACAAGTACTTTATTAAAATATTATTATTATTTGTACTAATTTACAAATAAAAAAAACCCAGGACAGGAGGGTCGCGGCACAGTGTGGTGATGTAGCATAGTTGGATCAAGTATAATGATATCTGACAGTGATTAAAATCACTATAAAAAAAAAAAATGCATCAATGCAAATCTTTAGATAGTGTTTAAATTTAAAATATTGGTGGATTCTTCCAAAAGTTACATGATCTGCTAGCTTCTTATTAATATCTTAATTAAGATAAAGTACGTCGAATGAAAGAGGGATATAAATATTATTTTTCATAAAAAAATTGTATTGATCCTTTCACTTTTCAATAAGTTAAAGTTAAAATAATAATAAGTTATAATAAAGTTAAAAATATAAAATACAAAATCAAAAATTTTCACACAAAAATAGCATTTGGTAGCCATTTTCACTGTGAAGATAAAATAAAGTCCACAATTTTTTTTTTCCATAATAAAGTAAATTACATTAGCTTTAATTTAAGATATATATAAAAGAGTCAAACCTTCCGGAATACTTTCAAAAGTTAAGTTGAAAAAGTAAATTTTTTGTGAAAAAGTTGTCATTTTAAATCCCCCCTGTGGGCAGGTAAAGGGTTAAATTTATATAAAAAATATACCAAATGATAGGTAAAGACATTAAGCATCTATAAAAAAAAAATTATATTGATATGTTCATTTTTGAAAAAGTTATGGCAGTTTTTGGTAAAAAAAATTGAAAAAATTTCGAAAATTAGCGATTTTTAAATTTGTAATTTTTTTGGAGGTTTCCCCCATTTACGGGGAACGAGGGAAATTTTTTCAATTTTCGAGGGTAATGTCTTCGACTAGATACGATTTGTGATCTTTTGACGTATTGTTGAAAGAAATCTGTTCGGTGAGGGCTGAGAAAAAGTGGTAACAAACACACAAAAAAAAACACATCATAGTAAAATTAATACCTTCTTAGCTTCGCATCAAAGCTAAAATCTTTTTAAGGATTAATAAATAATGAACTATTATTTTGATAATATTCAAAAAAAATAATAATAATGATACAACCAATATTAAAATTAGTTTATAATTAAAGTGTAGATAATTATACACAGTTTCTTCCAAATAATCTTTAACATATACTAATAAAAATTGATTCTTTTTGGAACTGAACATTTTTATACCACCACTTCTATTCGCCATTTTTTTAATTTACTCAAACATGTTTTAATCTAAAAAAAGACTACAGAATATAGTTTTAAACCCAATTTATATTTCTGATGATGAAAATTTGAATAATTATACACAAATTATTATTTTTTTAAATGCTAGCTGTTTTAAAAATATATTTTGAATATGCTACAGGTTTTGGATATCAGCATCAATATTTAAGACTATATATAGGGATATTGATTAGGAATTCCATTAACTTACCATCTTTTCTAAAAATATCCTATATGTTTATTTGTATAAGAATTCAAAGTTTTTGATGTCCAATATATACAAAGTGATTGGCTAACTATTTTTCACATAATATCTTTAACAATACAAGTGTTATAATAAAATTTTTTTTTAATTATTATGGATCTTTGATGAGGTGTTTCACAATAAAATTTAAATTTCTATCACCATCCCTTATTCTTAAAACTTGTATCAACTTCATACTTTTAAATGACAATACTATTTTCTTTACACTATTAAATTTAGTTTAATAAAAAAAAATGTTTTGTAAAAAAAATATTTTATTTTATTTAATATTAAGCACTCCACGGCTCTCTGAAATTTAGGGTTTATTAAGCAAAAATTGAGAAAAATTAAAAAATAACTAGCATGCAATAATATAATATAATATAATTATAATGAAGGAGATAAGCCATGCAATCAGACTGGCAATCGTCGCAAGGACTCCAAGATTACGTAATCATAAAGCTGCTGGTTCGGATGACATTGTGGCCAAAATGATAAAAGTAACTACAGAAAAAGGGGTTGATATAATCCACAAAATATGTTCCAAGATATGAACCACAGACGTATGGGCAAAGGAAAGGTGTAAGTCCATATAAAGCCTAATCCATAAGAAGGGCGACAAAGAAAACTACAACTATCGTACTATAGCCCTAATTCCCCATAAAAGTAAGATCATGTTGTATGTAATACAAGAAAGGTTAAAACTATATTTAAATTCTCACAAAAATGTAAATGTCAGAAAGCATCCGGAATACAATGAATAGAGAAATGTATGAAATGAATGGAGAAATGTATCCAATCGGAATAACAAGATTGCATGAAAGTCACAATGTTCGAAATCGAACAATAATAAAGAAGAGAAGAAGAAAAAATTATAACTAACACGAACGTTATGGGCTGTAAATTGATAAGCGCTACCAGTTTTATAAATATATATACTAAGTTTACCTTACTCATTCTAACTATATGCGTTGATACAGTAAACCGGTAACTCTTATCGCTACATAAAATAATAATGTGACAGTGTTGGAAAAATTACTGCTTTTTTTCATCAAATATCGTAAATATTAAAGTAGAGTAACTTGTTTAAAATTCATTTTTTTTTTTTTATGGCAAAAAAATATATATAAAAATAAAATGGGGTTGTCATTTGAAAATCTGAATTTGATACAAGTTCTAAGTATAAGGGATGATGATAGAAATTTAATTTTTCTTGTGAAACAGCTCATCAAAGATCCATAATGATAAAAAAAAAAATTATTTAAAACACTTGTATTTTTAAAGATAATACGTAAGACATAGTTAGCTGATCACCTGTATACTTTTGTTTTTATAATAGACATATTGAACCACTTACCGATTAGGAATATGAAATGATGGACAAGCAGGCATTATAAACATTGAATTCAGAATTAAACTACAATGATGTATGTGTTTAAGAGCAGCTTTACATAATTCAAGTTTTTTTTCGTTATCTGAATTATCAAAATCTAAAAAAATTAAATAATTGTAAATTAAGTAGTTATTTTTAAATAAATTGTTTATAGTAAATAATTGAATTGATTATTTCAGAAACCCATAAAGTACTATTGACCTATTCTGTAATTAACACATTATTTTATCTAAATTACATAACTATAGAAAAACAATATTTGTCTGGTGTTTGTACTAAATGATGTAGTTCTGTGAAAAAAATAAAAAAATTAACCTAGCTCATTTTTAGATTTTGACGGATTACTAAATAATCAATTCAATTTAGAACCTTACTAGTTCCTATCACATGTTTGATCAGACATGCAATACAATCAACAGCAGCATTTGAAAAGGCTAATGTATCATCAGTATTTAAAAAAACCCTAAATACTTCTAAAAGAGAAGATAAATGACTACTATTTACAACTTTTAAAGCACCAAATAATGGTCTCCACCCAGAATGTATGTCAGAACGATTTCCTTCAACAAATTGACATAAGCTGCTAACAATCTAAAAATCAGAAAAAAACTAGTTATTTTGTTTTAATATTTTCCATTTTTATATTTATTTTGTGTAATAATAGTGATTTAATTTCTATTAATTAAATGTTTAAATAATTATATATTAAATATTTACTTACTTGATCTTGAATTTCAACATCACATAGATCTAAACGTAAAAGATTTTCAAATGGTTTGAATAGTAATTCATTAATGTGAAAATAGGGAAGTTCAGGTTGATCATTGAGAAAAACTAAAACTGTGTCATGAATTGATTGTACTGCTTGTTTAGATAACATTAAATCCTTATGACAAGCAACCTAGAAAAATTCATATATTTTTTTAACTAGTAAATTAACTTCACTTTTATAATGGATATAAAAACAAAAGTACTTACTTCCATGAAACATGGTAACACTACTGACCAAATTTTAATCATATGAAACAATGGACGACCACTTTTAACACATCTTAACATTAACCGAGATAACCGAGTTAACAATGTAGTATTATGATTTAGGACTTTTGACTTCTTTTGCTCAATTATTTTAAACAGTTCATTATGAACTGTTTCACTCAAATTTCGCACAAATTCAGTTAAGGCTTTAAGATTTAATTTTAATGCTGCATCTTCAAAAAGTCTAAATAATTTAATGAAAACAAAGTTCTCATTAAACAAATATTTAACAATTTTTTTTAAAAAATTATGAAAAACTCTAACCTATCCACATATTGAGATAACACACACACAACTCTGGCACCATACTCTTGGCTTAATATTCCATTATTGTCAACATCTGCTCTACTTTTATTAACTAATGTTGGTATTGTTTCAGTCATATTAGTTGGAGAATTAGGAGAAGACAAAAAACTGTACACATCCATACTAAAATTATATTATAATGACAAAATGTAATTAATTAAAATATAAACTAAATATTTTAGCTATTACCAAACTTCTTCATCACTATCATTAAATTCCACAAAACTTTTATTCAAATTTTCAGATGTTGATATTTTAGACTTACATTTAGTTGATAATGATGTTACTGAAGAAGTCTGTCGAAAAAATACTTGTTCTAAATATTCAACATACAATGCACAGCTGAAAAATAATTGGATAATGATGATATACTTTTTATCTTTCACTTTTTATTATTTACTTAAAAATGTGAGTCCAACATTCCTGACCATGGCAACCAAATTCTAAACCTCGTGATAACATAATATCTAAGCTAAGGACATGTGAAGTAATTAATTTTGGTTGTTTTTTTATAACTCCAGATAACCAGTTATTATGCCCTTTTTGGGTACAAGAAGCTTTAACTAGCATTGAAAATATACCTTCACAGCGGTTATGCATACCTTGAAAAAAAATTAATATAAGCTATATTAAATTGTTAAAGAATATAAAAAAAAACTCTATTCTTACCAACAATATTGGCAAGAGAAGCTAATTTTTGTAAAGCATCCAAACAATGTTGCACAGTCATCTGATGAGTAACGCCATGATTTAATTTATTATGTAATAGTTTTTTAACTTTAACATTTCTCAATTCATTTTTAGTTTCACATTGAAGAGGTACAGCTAAAACATTCATTATTGTTTCCCAACAACATGTCAAAATACGACGACTCAATTTGATACCTATACATGATTTAAACAATTATGATTTTTTAATTAATCATAGTTAAATCAAAATATAATTCAAATCTCAATGTTTTTAGCTTCGATGCGAAGCTGAGAAGGTATTAATTTTACCATAATGTGTTTGTTTTTATTTTTTTGTGTCTGTCACTACTTTTTCTTAGCTCTCACTGGACCGATATTGATGAACAATATGTCAAAAGATCACAAATCGTATCTAGTTGAAGACATTACCCTTAAAATTTTTTTAAAATTTCCCTCATTCCCTGTAAATGGGTGAAATTTCCAAAAAAATTACAATTTTTAAATTTGATAAATTTTGTCATTTTTTTTTCTTAAAACTATCATAACTTTTTTAAAAATTAACAAATCAATATAATATTTTAGCTTCGATGCGAAGCTGAGAAGGTATTGGTTTTACTATGATGTGTTTTTTTTTTTTTTTTTTTTTTTTTTTTTTTTTTTTTT